CTAAAATCTCACATTCATTGAAAAAACCAAATCAGAGTTCACAACAGAAACAGTCATAAATATAGTCGAACTCATTCAATCAAAGCTTAAATGGTCGAAATACAGTCAAAAAGGTCAGTCAAATTTCAATGCAAAATGCGCCCACAACCCTTGTCTGAACAATATCCTCTTGCATTCGTCTGTTAGCAGCGTTAATGTCGTTGCACTGAATCGTGAGTTTGTCGATTTGCTGGTGTACTTCATTCGTTTCGAGTGCCAGCTGATTGTTAAGTCGTTCAGCCTGAAATTCAACACTGCTACATCTGATTGGGATATACGTTGTTGATAGTCGTTCTTCATTCGTTCTTAATTGAGCTGATGGTTATGGGCACTATCAGGTTATCATAGAATCCACATTAGTAGTGTTTGATTATCATGATTCAATTATTACGATTTTCAACCAATGCAGACACCTGAACATTGGTTCAAGGATGCTGAATTTATATTCTAGATAACTACCATCGGAAACGAACTGAATACCAATCCAGTGGCTACATTAACAATCGAAAGGCACCTGTGATGATTTCAGCTCAAGAACTTCTTTTTCGGATTGTACAAATGCCAGACGTTTCTCAGCATTTACACAATCTTCACTGAATTGTTGTCGTCGTATCTGCTCATCCTCGAGTACGTGCTGCAGCTCACTGATCTGCTGTGCATACTTCTTCAGATTCGTCTGTGTGTCTTCGTTGGCCGAATTCGCATGCGTTAGAGCAGTTTCGAGGTCCTTCAAAGAATTTTTGATTGTAATCAATAAGCTGATTTTTTTTTCATATCAAGTGGTGCCGTCTTCTTCAAACTTCCAGAAGCACAATCTGAGCAGTCAGTGAAATACTCTTTTCTTATTTCATGAAGATCTCTTAAATTTCTGTTCTAATAAAGAATATTCCCAATCCTGTTAAGTTCTTTTGATTGATTGGATTTCCGGCCATACCGCATTCTTTAAATCGTTATCACTTATTATCAAGAACCAACTAACGTTCACATCCGCTTCAAGTTTCTTCTTCAGCCGTTGTAATTCTGATTTTTCATTTTTCTCAACTTCAAGCGATCCCTGTAATTGCAAACACATCACCACGTTCAAAAACAGACAGATCATCTCATTCTTTCCTCACTATTTCGGGGCATTTGGAACGGTCATTTTTCAGAACTGATATCAAAGTGGACAATGAGAAATTCTCCCATCAACTGATACCACACCAGATCAAAGAGAGCAACACCACCTGAATGGATTCCATTGAAATCTGATAATTTTTGCGAACATTCTCAAATTCTTCCTCCTTCTCTTTCAGCTTCTTGCTGATATTTGCTCGAATCTCCTTGATTTCTGTTTGGAATCTGGAAACTTTATTTTGTTCACTTTCGGCG